GTATAGCATGGTTCCCCATCATGGCTCCTTTGCTTGGCATTCAAACCCTAGAAAATCTGGCTCCAGTCTCCTACTGTCCCTCCTTGTAATCTACAGGTGCTCATGGCATTCCTCAAATACTTTCCTGTGTTTTGCCTTTCTCCCGTTTTCCAAGTTTAGACTATTTTCTCCAAGATGTCTGTCTAAGGATACCCAATGGCCCTTTGAGGTCCTGTTCTAATAGCATTGCTCTAGTAGCATCTTCTTTGATCCAAACTGAAGTCCTTTCTCTCTTTTCTGTGCTCCAGAAGCAATTTCTCTCTCTCAGTACCCATATCTATTTCTTCTTTTTGATATAGTTATTTTTGCATCCCATTTCTTCTGAGTATAAACTCCTTGAAGGCATGGACTACGTCTTGCTCATCTGCATAGCCTGCCATGTTTAAAACTGACACATGAAAATAAAGCAAACTCAAATGTTTATAAAATGAATGAATAGCTGAGGAATGAGCGGCAGAAGAAAAGTAACTGTTTTAAAAGAAATATAATTTTATTATTTGTGGCCCCTCTTCTGCATGTCTGCAGCACTTTGTTATCAACTTAGCGCTTGTTGCATTATGGATTGAGCTTATTTGTTTGTTTTCCTTGTGAGACTTTAAGTTCTTAGAAGGGTACTGTCTTACTCATCTCTCTGTGTCCAATATTAGTTAGGCACAGTGCTTGGCATTTTCTTTCTTACCTTTTTTTATTGGCATCTTTTAAGTGAATGAGAATATGTATGCTAATGTGAAATAATTAGCTTACAAAGAATTTCATAGTAGAATTAATAAAAGGCCTACTCCATTGAGCAATTAACTCATTTGCTTTTTTTCTAAATGTGGTAAAGATGCCCAAGAAGACCAATACAAAAGTGGTCATCCCCTTAAGGCCTAGAAGGTTTGATGATCAAAGGACTATTTTTAATGTCATGTGAAGCTCTTTATGCCCACTTCCCTAAAGCCTTCTACATTTGAAAGAGGAATCTGTTTGTGTAAGAGCATCATTAATTAGCTTAATAAGAATTAATGATGCACATACTTCTGGACCTCAGGGACAAAGGATAAGAATCAAACTTTCATAGCAAAGAATATAGTATTTTCTTATCTCTAAACAGATAGAAATACTATGCAAGTATTCCCTCCTTGGCAACAAGGCTGGAGAGATTTTTAGTTTGTAATTAGTGAAGAATTAGGAGCATTTCTGATATGCTTACTTAGTGTAAACATTTCTAGCTATACCACTTAACCATCATTATAAACAACCATTTTTAATATAACAATTTCTGCAGTGAAATCCTTAGTACCAGTCTATTCTCTGAAATATATTTTAATATTCTTGATATTATTTATATTCATATAATTCATTTTATTTAATATTTAAATGTTAATTTAATTCAGATTAAATTATCAAAACATTCTGGGTTCATGGCATTCAAACTAGTATAGATGGTCTATATTTTCCTTCCTTTTAGGCAACAACTTGAGGTTAACTTTAATTCCTCTCATTCTACTGCATCAACTTTTTCAAATCTTTTTCTGAAGGCTAGAGAGTGAATATTTTAGGCTTTGCAGGCCACATATGGACTCTGTTGTATATTCTTGTCTCTATTCTTTTCTTTTCTTTTTCTTTTACAGCCCTTTAAAAATGCAAACTATTCTTTACTTACAGGAGTGTATATAAAAACAGACTGTGATTATATTTCATCTATGGGTTGTAGACTAAATATAAATATAAGCAGATGGCATATGAACACTTAGAAAACAAGGTTCATGTGGGTGTTGATAATTTCTCAGATCTTATTACCACTTTTTCCCTATAAGTGAAGTTCTTTTCTATCTGTACCTTGTCTATATGATTTAAAAAACCGAAAATGCATAGGGAGTATCTAATGCTAGAAATGGGCTAAAACTCTACACAGATTTAGAGAACTGCAGAATTTTATTGCTGGAAGAAATTTTAGAGATTGTCTAATTTGAATCTCTTACTCATTGTGTAGATAGTATCACTAAAACTCATAAATAAATATGATTAACTAATTAACTTACAAATACCGGAGGGATAGCAGGCCTTCAAATGAATCTTTATGTAATTCGGTCATATGATTTTCCCTGAGAATTCTGGAAAATGAAAAGGTTATTTCTGGATCAAAATGCAAACTAGCAATAACTATTTGCTACACAGGACTCCTATCTATGGAGGAAACCTGGGTCATGATGCCACCTGAATGCTCTACTTCTGATTTAATTTCAAGATGGCAATGTCTGCTCTGTTTTCAAACCTTTTTTCACATTCTCCTTTTTGTGTCCATCTCTCTCCACCACACACACACACACACACACACACACACACACACACACACACACACACACACCTTCCCGCTCTTCCCACCAAATTTATATTTAATGCCTACTCTTCTCTAGATCACAAAGTCCCTGTTAGAACCCAACTCTGGGTAGCACGCCAAGATCAGCAGAACTGCCATTTCCTCATCTCTTTCCCTAAATATTATTAAGAAAGCCCCACATGGACCTACATCAGGGCCACAAGTAAAGCCATTAGGTTTTTTCCCCCATTAAAAAACTTTTTTGAGAACTACATAAAATGCACATAACATAAATGTTCAGTTTAACAGTTATAAAGCAGATAGATACCCAGGTAATATGTTAGGAAAGAGCACTGGGAGCATCCAGAAGCCCCGGAAGGGCCCTTTCTGACCACAACCTTCTCTCTAACCCCTACAGGTAACCACTCTCCAGATTTTTATCGCAGTTTCCTTGCTTTTAAAATGTAGTGTTACCTATTATATGTCAGCCATAAGCAACATCCTTTAGTTTGCCTTTCCTGAATTTTATGTAAATGGAATCATATTGCACATATGACTTTCTATCTTGCCTCTTTCACTCAACATTCTGTTTGTAAATTTATGATGATGTTGCTTGTAGCTGAGGTTGGCTCCTTTCAGTGCCTGTATGGCGTGTCCGATAGGTCACCCCTAGCTACATGTGGTTCCTGAGGACTTCAGTGTGGCTAAGGGTGACTGGGGAACTGAATCTTTAATGTCAGTAATTTTAATCATTTTTAAATTTAAAAGCTGATACTCAATGCAGTTATTAGAAAATGTTTAAGTGCGTTTGCAACAACATGGGTATAGGATGCTACTTTTAGAACTACATATTTTATGAAATCTAAATATAGATTAAGTATTTTTGATGAAAATTCAGCAACCAAATTTAAACTTCAAAAGAGTATGGAAAAAATAATGTAAACTCTCTAAATAATAATTTTAGACTGATTATATATTGAAATGATAATACTTTGGATATTTTGAGGACTTAGGATAAAAAAAGAATAGAATATTTTGTTAATAATATACATAATGATTACTTGTTGCCATGATAATATTATAGATATATGGGTTAAGTTAAATAAAATATATTTATGTTTGTTTCACCTGTTTGTTTGTTTTTACTTTTATTTTTTAAGTGACTACCAGAAAATTTAAGATTACATATGTGGCTCACATTATGTTTCCACTGAATAATGCCGCCTTAGGGTATTTCATTGTATCATTATACCACAATTTATTTATTCATCTACTGTTGATGAATATTGAGATTTTTCTAGTTTTTAGTTATTACAAACAATGCTGCTTTGAACATTCTTGTACATGTATTCCAATAACACTTTTGCCTGAGTTTCTCTAGGATGTAATAGGAGTGCAAAATTGTTTTCCTAAGAGATTGTGCTATTTCAAGTTGGTAGATTGAGAACACGCCAAGTCTCTATCCCTCCAACCTCCACCAAATTCCTAAAAATTATAGGATAGATATAATTTAAAAATTCACAACCTTAGCTTAAAACTCACAAGCAGCTTTACAAATGCTCCTCATCAGAAATGCCCTGGAGCCATCTGCAGGGTTATTGGTTGGGAAACTATAGTAGGAGCAGCCAGAGGCACATCAACCCCATATACTTCCTCCTTGGACCAGGCAGCAAAGGTGTCTTCCTCCAGACAGGAGCAATTGGTGTTAAAAGGGGGCAGGGTCCTGGAACCCTGGAGGAAGGGCACACACTCCCTTACTAGCTGCCTCCCACCCCTTCATTATTCTCAAGGGAATCCACCTGTAACACAAGTCCCAGCATGTCATTTCACCTGTCTCCTGCATCTGGAAAACAGAAGCAGCAGAATTTCAACTACAAAGATGAATTACATTCAGGAATGACGAAACAACAAGAGAAAGCCAACTCCAGTAAAGACAGAAAGCAAACTCAAACAACGAATTAGTTAACAGAGAAAGCACGAGAGGACTTTAGAATAGCAGCATTAATATCTGCAGACAGAGGTAAGCAGATAGTTTATCCATGAAAAGGAATCGACTAAAGATTATACAAATATAAAGTGTTATTAATAAAACACTCAGTATATGGGCTGGGCAT